TTCATTTTTCACTTTATCTATTTACAAAAACGATTAATTACAATAATATAACCAAAATTAAATCTTGCTGTAACCCTAACCCTAAGCCTATAATATATATATATTGTATATATATATTATATATATATATATATTATATATGTTATATATATATATATATATATATATATATATATATATATATATAAATATATATATATATATATATATATATATATATATATATATATATTATATATATGTATATTGTATATTATATATATATATATATATATATATATATATATATATATATATATATATATATATATATATATATATATATATATATATATATGTATATATATATATATATATTTATATTTATATATATATATATATATATGTATATATATATATATATGTATATATATATATATATATATTATATATATATATATATGTATATTGTATATTATATTTATATATATATATATATATATATATATATATATATATATATATATATATATATATATATATATATATATATATATATATATATATAATATACAATATATGTATATTGTATATTATATTTATATATATATATATGTATATATACACATATATATATGTATTTATGTATATATATATACATATATGTTTATATATATATATATATATATATATATATATATATATATATATATATATATATATATATATATATATATATATATATATTTATATATATATATATATATATATACAAATTAGTAAACAGTACAAAAATGGTTCTTAAATTTTTTTTATATGATGAGTTATTAGTTTTCTCCAGTAAAAGTGATTTCTGGCCCACTGTGCATCAGCCAAAAAAGTGCTATCGGTACATGTGTCCAAGTTGCAACTTTTGAGGACATGTTTTTTTTTTGTTCTCATTTTGTTTTGTTTTTTTTACTTTTTTATACTTTTTTCATCTTATTTTATATTATATTTCATTTTTCACTTCATCTATTTACAAAAACGATTAATTACAATAATATAACCAAAATTAAATCTTGCCGTAACCCTAACCCTAAGCCTGACCTTGATGCCCTGCCTAACCAAACCCTCAATCCATGTAGCAACACTCCCTTGCGAGTCAAGCTATTTGATAGTCGATGTATATACTTTTCGTTCGCTATAAAAGTTTCTTATAATTACATTTTTTTACAATAAACTTAACCCTTAAACCACTAAAACAGAAGTAACTAATCTTGTCATGAGAATTATGATTCTAGCATGATTTTAACCTGACAGACATGAATATGAAGTCCATTATTTATATAATCTTCATCTAAGAACGCCAGGTGAAAAAAATGGAAGACCGTCTCTAGGCGGTCTTAGTGGGTTAGGCTGAAGAAAAAAAAAAGTAAATACATGCATAATTTAGTTTTTTTATACATGTATTTAGTTTTTTTTCATGTTTTGAGCATTATAATTGAATAAAAACAAATGTTTTTATTCAATTTTAATGCTCAAAACATGAAAAAAAGTATTATTCATTTAGATGATAGTCTTTGAGACAATTTTTTGCTTTGTAAAAACACATGTGGATATTACATTTTGTGCAAAATGTGTGTCAGATTTTTTGCAAAATTTACACGGATTTTTTTATCCCCATTCAGGAAAATGATTCATTTCATCGAATCTTAGACTTTTCTTCCAACATAATTGCTGTTAGTTGGTTGTATAGCAGATGGACGGCCAACTGATCTTTTTTCAAGAGAAACACAGAGTTCTTTAGCAATGCTTACATGAAATTCCTTCATGATCATGTCTTTTATTTATCATCACTAATTGCAGTTTTATTCTTTTACAGCATTAAGTCTTCTATACAAAATGAATGCATTTGTTACAGCCATGTCCAGAAAATGATAGAAGATCCTGGTTGCCATATCCTGAGTTTTAAATTTTAGTCCATTGCGACCCAAAAAAGAGTCCATTAAATCAACTCCACCCATATGTGCGTTGTATTCTCTCATAATTTGTGGACAATCAATTTCATCATATGAACTTTTTTATTGTATCAAGCTATTTATATATATTGATGATTGACTTGATGTATTATTTTTTTGGAAGGGCTTAGTACCAACATAAGTTGAGCACAGTCTGACATTCTTCGTATCCTTCCACAAAACTGTGGTGTTGGCAACACCATAAGCCGATCCAACAAATTCTATTGAATAACCCCGTGGAGCTTTTTTCAGTTCTTTATTTTTGTCATCAGAAAGTCTTAATGGTTTAAGGGTTACATTTAAGTCTGCATGAACTTAATTAACATGATTTTATTAAATATTTATATATATATATATATATATATATATAATATATATATATATATATATATATATATATATATATATATATATATATATATATATTATTTTTTGAAAAAATCAGCTATGCATATGATCATTTAGGCCAACATTAAAACAAAAAATATATTTTATGTGATCATAACTACTAGTACTTTTTGCTACATTTTTTTAAATGTAAA